TGCACTGTTTAATATCTGGAGAGAGAATGGCAGCTTTAGTGACATGCAGTGACTTCTACTCTACCACCGTGTCATTCCTAATATTACCACATGATGGCGCCAAAGTAAGAACATTGCAATTTTGGCATCCAGTGATGTTTCCCAGAGGGTGTAGGGTGTACTAGATACACGTCAAAATGAACAAACCTCTGAACATATAACACCCTGCTGATGAAGTGTCATATGCAATTCAATTCATTTACAGTATTTCATTCATCCATTCAACCTTTGAGAAATGATTTGACGATGCACTTGGAACCCTTTCTGTTTTGTCCCTTATCTTAGTCATCCTAAACTTCTTGGATGAGAATCTGACATATGCCAGTAAAAAAGTCCTTGCAGATAATCTGTCCAACTGAAAAGGATCTCACCATTTTGTGGGCTTCACTGGAAATGTTGGTATAATGCAGGACCTCCAGCTCTGTATAAGTATCTTTATTGTGATGACTGAAATAGAGACGATAAAAATCATCTATTTGAATATACAAGGAGGTGTGCCTGACAAACATCCCTCTATGCCGTGGACAACCAAGGAAACATGAAGTCCTTTTCATCTGTGCATACTGGCTTCTGACTCTCAGAGGAGTGAAAAAAAACCCGGTGAAAAAAACCCTTGTTTCTTAATGAAACCACTAAATGACTATACTGATTACAAAGGTTTGTGATAATTTGACTGAAGAAACTTAAAGGCAATAGAGGAGGTTTCCACAGTCTTTATTCTCTTGTCTAGTGGGCTTTTTCAAATATATTTATTATAAAAAAAATATATTTACCATTCCACAATGACTGAAGTGTTGTTAAGTTGGAAACTGATAAAAGCAAACAAACTAACCTCTAGAATAAGTAAGATTTGGTAAATTAAGCGTTAGGGTCACAGTGTATAATAAAAGGCTGTAATATATGTGGTTAAGAACAAAGACCAGTGCTAAGAACAACAGTGACATTACCATTAATTGACAACTAACATGCAGAAGCAAGATTCTTTGCTTAATTAAATTATATTCAGAATTAAATTAATGAGCAACAATCAATATGCATGAGAGTCTAATCATGTTAATACAAATTGATACCAATTAAACATACTGACTAATTCCTTCAAAGGAGGCTTCATGGCAGATGCTCTGTCTGTCTTCTGTCCTCGCTCTGAGGAAAGAAAAAAAAAAAAAAGAAACCCCAAAAAAAAAACAAGTGAAATGACATGACAAGTGCTTCCAAATGTCAATACAGTGCATCAAATTAGTTTATTTCCAGGCTGATAATCAAATCCATTATCTGAAATGAAAAGGCTGGCATGTTTTGCCTCAGATTATCACAGTCATCTCATAGAAAATAAGAATTTTATTTCAGTTGTATTCAGAGGAACCTTGAGTGATCCGCTGTCCTCTCCCTCAGCACTGTACTAATGGATGAGCTGCTCGAATGCAATGGGAAGAAAGCAAAATACCAGTGTGAGGAGCACTGCTGGTTTCAGGTTGGGCAGGACATCAACAATCTGCAGGGAAGCAGACAGGGACTAATTAGAAGACCGAGACACAACAACAGAGCAGCACAAACAACAAGCACCGGTTTTCTTCTTCTACTCTCAGGCTGCAGAATAAAGGTCACTCTGACGGGAGCCATTGCGGCTTCATGGCCACTCTGGAATAATTGCCATGACTGAAATGATTAGACACTGAAGTGATAACTGCTTAAGTTATTCAAAAAGCAGTTATGAGATTATCACTCTCTGCTAAACAGTGATACAATGAGTCCATTAGTTGCAGAAATAACATAAGCCTATCAAAAAAAGAAAAGAAAAAGAGGCAGCTCCAATCAGTTAAAGGAGCGTACATGCAGCCATATAAGAGATGGCAAATGTGACTCATTGCACATTCATAGAATTTTCTTAAAATATCATCATAGACCCAAGAATATTAAGTTGAGGCAAACTGGGTTAACAAGAAGTAATCAAGATAAACACCAGTATTTTAAAAGGATGAAGAACACACTGTTCACATTTCATCAGAGGTGGATAAAGTACACAGCCTCTCCAAGTCAAATATTACTCCAATACAAGTGAAAGTTGTTCACTCAAATGTGTTCTTACTGTTTACTGGTAAAGAAAACTACAATAAACATACAAAAAACTTAAGCATCATATTGTATCTAGTCTCTCTGAAAACATATCTGACAAGTTATGGTCAAAAAGGAGGGAGTGTGTTTCAATGTGTCCACGATTTTTGTTTAAAACCAATAATAGTAACAAGCCATAGATGGAAGTGTCGAAAAACTGACATCATAGACACAAGGAGCTTTTTGGCTAATCTACATATTTGTGAAGAGGAGATTAACAGTGCCAGGAAAACTGCTCTTGTACTTTAAGAGAAACCAGAGGTTTTTCAGAAAATCAGCAGAATCCACCTGGGCACTTTTATTTAGAGATTTGGCACAACCGACTAAGTGGAGATGGGCCCATGACTTGCTGAAAGGCCTTTAACTCGCTCCTGGCCTCAGCCCACCTGAGGATTACTAATGGATGGATGAATGAAGAAAAGCACACCCTTGATGAATGTAATGCATGTCCCAGAATCAACTTAAGTCCTACCTGCCTGAAAAGGAGGTCTATATCAGTGCAGTACCTCTGCTTGTGATCTCCTCCCTGCAGCACCACCACTGACTTTGGCACCACTCCATCTTTGCACAGCCTGCACAGGCATTGGTGGTTCTCAGAAAAAGGGCAGCAGACACCCTCTGGGTGTCATTAGCCAGCCAGTAGACAGAAAGGACAGGGAGACAGAGGTTTGGGCCGCTCAGGGTGGAGTAGTAGTTGGAGACTCTGTTGTAATGGATATTGTCACCGGTGGCATAGAATGCTCAAGCCTGCACGGTGTAGTTTTCTCTCCACTCTCCCTTCGATCATACAACTATTTTCCCAAATCCTATACTGCGCTGACTGAACCTCACTCATTTGTAAACCAATTATGATTAATGACAATGAAAATAAAACTGATATCCACAAAATACACAGCAGCTGCAGTAAAAGTAACTAAGTCAAATGTTTTGAGCTGATTATGTTGTGATTACATCTTACAATGGACAATTTAGTTGCCAATAGAAACCAAACTGCGGCACTGTGGCAGGACACAGTGGATTTACACATCCTTAACCTGCCGGTACCTGCATCACACATTACCTTCGCCAAATACAGCAGTTATCTGAAACTTTAAATTGGCATTTCGGTGATTTAAAGCTGTCTTCTCTCTCTCTGATTCCTCTTTTTGGTAAGGATGTCTTGTTTTGCAACACTTTAATTATTCTCTTCATAGAGGACCTATTGAGTCTGCAGTGAAAAATTTTAGATCGAACCTTAAAGGCAAATTATGTGATAAAATTCAGAAGAGTCATCTATCTACTGAGAACAGACAGGAGACACATTATGTTAAAGTCATATCTGAAGGTAATCCTTTGGCTTTGTTTGTAGATTTGAGCTTGATGAGGTGTGTAACCAACCTGCCTTACAAAAGCATTTCGACAGTATTCAGCTGGACCGCCTTGTTACTGAGAAGTCTTGGTCATAAATCTTGGTCTCTGGCCTGTGGCTTTACTGATAACACAACACATGCAACACCTTATTCACTCTGGACTGTACTAAAGATTAACCCCTTAACCTTGCAGTATTTTATGGCTCAGGGATTTCTGTATCATTCACTGGTGGCTTATTTTCCAGGTGTATCTATCGGGAACGATCAGCCATTCAGGTGGGAGATGGTGTTGGTACTGACCCTGCAAAGTCTGCTCTATGTGATACTATTAGTGTAGAAATGAGCACTTAGAGGAGGAGGAGGTAGACACACGACAATGCAATCCATTACCCTGCCCAGTCACGCACAGGGATCTAAAAAAACAACTTGTCCAGTGGTTTTTAGAGGTATTGATTGCACTCCATGTTAATTGAATTTCTGATATTTGTATAATATAGTCAGGTGTTGTTTGTTGTTTGGTCCTATCTGCTATCCGTCATGAGGCAACATCTGCCAGAGATGACATTTGTCATGAGGGTCACTTTTAAATAGGTCACACATTGCAAGCAGTGTGCACCATGGAGCACACATTAACATTTCTCATTGTGTTTGACCAAACTGCCATTGTGTCCAGACATATTTCACTACTAAAGTTGTTTTGTCATTTTGTTGATGCATTTCTCATCCGACTCCGACCCATCTCGTGGCAACACTTTATACATTCGTCAGATAGAATTACAGACCTCTCACTCATCTACACATTGTCCTGCATTGGATTAGTATTTTCAGTCTAATCACTTTAAACTTTCTTCAAATGAAAGGGTGAGGCCAGTCACACTGTCAGTGGCAGCAAGTAAAATTGAAAACAAATGTAATCACATGCTTTCAGTTGAAACAAAGAGAAACCCGGGCTGAATAATTATAGTCATTGAAATAATATATGGCAAAGTGCAATATTGGAATCGCAGCAGCTGAATTTTGTTGATAAAGGTATATGTGGCACAACATAATATAAATGAAGCAATGTGGTGCTACAGAGACATTCAGTGGTGAATAAGGAAGATCGTAGGTGGCAGCTTTCTGTGAGGCTGTAGTGTTTTTGGTTTTTATGGCTTAGGTTATTTTTGGTTGAATTTCCTGGTGTTCATTTTTCCTGTTCATCAATGCTTTTGTAATAAATGTCTTTTTTTTTCAGCACATACTCCAACCTGCCGACTTTTGACAAAATCATTTTAAAGGTTTCCAGTGCCCACATACCATCATCTGACCTTTATATGGGGTAGCGGTGCTACAGAGAGACTATTGGGAAATTTTCTTCCATCACAGGACAAGAGGTCTGCTTTAGTTGTCTGGTTCACAGAAACTTTGAATGTACTGATTTGTATGGATTTTTATAATTTGTAATTTTTTTTTCATACAAAAATAAATAAATAAATAAATAAATAAAACAAAACACTGTTGCAAATTAAAATGTTTAATTCAATTTCACAGGGTATTTGTGAATCAATGTTTACAAAAAGCAACATATAAGAATAAGAATTGTTTCAAAAAAGTTAATCTCTTTTCCAAGGAGTCACAGAAATGAACTGTTACTGTACCAAGGTCGAGGTCATCCCTTAAAGTGCCTGTTGCTAACACACAATTTTCAAACCATTATAAAACCTTCATGAAGACACTGTATGACATGTTTTTGCTTGTTTTGCTTAGCCATGTGTTAATTCTCTTGATTGCGTCTCTGTTATGTAAGTGAGATAAGAGTGAGAGTAATAATTTGAGTTTTACTGAATATTCTTTGTTGTTTATATGTGGTGATTGATGATATTCCAGCTTGCAGATCAGACTTTACCAGATGTCTTTCAGAATTTTTCACTGCTGACGACGGGGCTGAAGGTTTTTCCAGAGTCAGCCATGAAAGCCTCAATCTCCTCCACGGTGCGAGGGACACAGGTCAGCAGCTCTATACCATTCGCTGTCACCGCTATGTCATCCTCAATGCGAACCTGCACACATTAGCGAAACAGTAGTCAGTTAAACATATTAGAGTGGGAGATGAGGGATCAGTCACTGAAAAATCTGTCCACTTCTCTTTAGGATTTGAATTCTCTAATTTCACCATGTTCAAAATACAGCTTAAAATGTCCATGATGATTCCAAGACTTTCCCCAGATCCTGCAGGGTGCAACTTTTACACCTACAAATCCACGTCCAAAGCAGCGGAGTGTAGACAGTTATAGATGGGTAAAACTACAATAACCACCTCATGGTGGTTGCCTCTGCCAACCAGCTAAGTTACAGGAAATATGGTAACAATCTACCCTTCCCAAATTACAGTTACAGTTATTGCAGAACATTTTGATGTCACGTGAAGTTGACCTTTGATCAATTGGATATAAAATGTCATAATTTTATCCTATTAGACATTTGAGTTAAATTGTGTCATAATCAACGTATAAATTTGAGTTTTGTGAGGTCACAGTGACCTTGACCTTTGACCTTTGACCATCATATTCTATCCTTGAGTCAAAGTGAATGTTTGTGCCAGATGTAATGAAATTCCCTTTAGGCGTTCCTGATATATCACATTCACAAAAACGTGAGGTCATCGTGACCCTGAACTGAATCAGTCCTTAAGAAAACTTGACCATCAATCTGGTGACACACAGCCAAGTAAGTCGGCAGCGACAGACTTACCCCTCCGAAGCCACGGAAGCGAGCCAGCACTTGGTTGTTGATGAAGCAGCTCTGGGTGGAGTTGGCCAGGGCCTGGTCCAGCAGATGGTTGATGAAGTATATGCCAGGCTCCACGGTGAGGACCATCTTCTCCTGCACCAGGCGGCCCATCCGAAGACTCCTCAGTCCAGGCTCATTGATGCGCTCCACCCCCTGAGGAGTAATACAGTTTGTTAAACCCAAGCTACACACTTAGAAAAAGTATCTCGGGGCGTCGAGTAGCTCAGTTGGATGAGCATCCGCCCCATGTGTAGAGGCTACAGTCCTCGCTGCAGTTGGCCCCGGTTCGAGTCCCGCATCGGACGGCCCTTAGCTGCATGTCATTCCTCCTCTCTCTGCCTCCCTATTTCCTGTCTCTCTCTACTGCACTATCAATAAAGGCACAAAAGGCCTGAAAAAATTAATTTAAAAAGAAAAGAAAAAGTATCTCACCAGTAAAATATTTCGAGCTAGTATTTTTATTATTAGGGGTCCAAGCAGCAAATGTTCTCCACTGAACATTTGTGCCAAATGTTCTCCACAGAATCTGTATGTAGTTGTCTGAACTGCATAACTGCACAAAACCTGACACCATCTGACAACATGTGACCATCCTCTCTCTCCTGCCCTCATCCTGAACTTGTTCCTGCAGCTTGGCCTCTTTTTGTTCCACTCTCACTTCTGCACCGAGAGCCTCTCTATTATTGATGACACATCAATACTGGAGGAACTGGAAGTGTTCGTTCTTCTTCTTCTGTCTACTGGATGGTTGTGATGCGAGCAACCTCAGAGTTGAAGTCTTCTGCTCTCACCTAAGGGTAGCCTCCCACATCGTGCACGTCGATGCCCAGCAGGTGTCCCAGGCCGTGGGGCATGAAGACGGAGCCCATATGGGCCTTCATCATGTCCTCCACGCTGCCATTCAGGATGCCGATCTTCACCAGCTCCTCCAGGTGAACCCGATCAGCCAGGCGGTGCATGTCAGTCCACTTCACACCTTCAACACAAACAGATTTGTTAATGAGCCCAAATGTTCCTCAAATATATAGGTCTGGAAAGGAAAGAAGATATTATTTCCAAGACCCCAGCCATAGTAAAGAAAAAAAAAAAAGGAAAAAACATGTTTAACTGAAAACCTTGGAAATTTAACCTGTTCATTACTCTCAAGTCAAATGTCATTACTGTTGTCTTTACTGTGACTCGTACTTTACAACATCAACAAAAAAAAAAAAACAACTATAAAATGCAACAAAGCAATTAGCAGTTAATCCTGTGCTGGTAGATCATATGAGTACTTTACTTCACGTTACTTTTTTGTATGTCAGTGTGTACTCAATTAGTTAAACTGACAACAAGATAGTAACCTGGTTTGATGGCAGCCATGACAGCTCGGGAGGACTTGAGGACGGCCTCATAGATGGCCCTCTGGTCAGGGGTGAACTTGCCATTGGCTGGGAAGGAGCAGGTGATGTCTGATGAATAGCAGTAGTACTCTCCACCCATGTCAAACAGACTGCAGGGGACAAAACATCAGCACGGATTCAATCAAATGTATTTCCAAAGTGCTTTGGGTTCGTGACCAAAATGTTCTTGAGTTGTTTACAGTGTGACAAACGTACGCAGAAAGCGACGACACCGAAGATCACAACTTTAGCAGAACAGTAACAATGCTTTTAGGAGACACTTCACCAGAGAGCATTTCACAGAGGCTGTGGAGTTTGGCATGTAAAGAATTGGACAATAACACAACAGCTTGTGATTTAGGAGGACCGGTAGAGTTTGTGAGTGTGTTACATGACAGAACCACGAGGTGCTTGCATCTAAAAACTGCTAAAAGTTAAAAACTATTGGAAGCTACTCACCACATGTCTCCATCCACAATTAACTTGTCATTGGGAGCCCCAGCATGGCCGTAGTGGAGGACGGATGAATTATGGCCCCTGGTGTTATACACACAATGCATAAATTAAAAACACAGGTATACGACAGGTATCACGACATATGAAGAACAACTGCATTACAAGGTGATAACTGCATTGAATGTGTCTTGTATAAAGCTACTATTACAACAATTTGAACTGAATAGTTGTGTGAATAGTATTTCAGAGCAGCATCCTCCTTCATTTTAATTTGAACAGGAAAATAACATGCATCCTTGACAACTAATCCTCCCGGAGGTGCTCATTACACATGGCCTTTAGTACAAAAGGCCAGAGCATGATTAACAGCAACGCCTCAAAATTCTTCATCCATAGTGATGCTGCTAGCTGGCAACAACCCTACAACAGGAAGGTGATGTATTGTTTTAGTGAACATAGTTTATTTTGGCTGACAACAGCAGGGTTACAGAGCGCCACTTCCTCTGCTTCCAGAACTCTGATTTGTGTTCGAATCCTGTGGGTGCTGGAGTGCCACAGAGGCTTTAAGGATGTTCTGCATTATATTGTTTCTAATAAGTGTCTCTAATATTTTCTTTTCAGTGAAGACAGCATTTGAAGGTGTCTGATCGAAAAATTTGGTGACTTCTAACCTTGAAGCCACGTTTTTTCCATCGATGACAACATTCTTATTATAATCAGTGTGTAATTAATCAATTAAGTAAGACATTTAGAAAGCAATTACAGTAAAAGCTAAGTCAGAAATAAAACACGTAAAGAATTAAGCCTTACGTTCCACAGATACAGGTGTACGAGGTGTGGCGCATCCCTCCTTTAGTGTAGCAGTAGTGCTGGAACAGGCTGGAAAAAAAATGTCAGAAAAAGGAAAAATAATCAATTTCTGCAGAGCAGAGATCAGCAAACGGACTCGCTGCCTGCTTCCTGACTGCGTGCTTTTTAAGAATTCATTCAGTACTCATTCTTTAATCATCACACGCTCGAGCGGATCAAATACTTCTATGGATGTTGACAGCATCACAGTGCTGTGTGGGGATATTTCCTAGTTCTTTTAATATATACAAAATTACTGTCCAAATAACTCTTTTTGTGTTTCCCTTAAAGTTCCTCTCCAAATAAAACATATTCTGCTCTGATTAATGTTTTGTTTAACATGGTTTTAACATCAGAGAAATTCAGTCACATGATTGAACCTGTTCAGGTTGAGGTTGTTGAGAAGTGAGGAGTTTATTCTGCATTAAATCGGCACACTGTCAGTGGCTGTGCCAATGCAAACTCTCGCTCTCTGTACTGACAAGGTTTTGGTTACCAGTGAAAGAGCAGTGCGTATCAAGAGGGGTGGAGCGACTAACTAATGCATCAGAATGGTAAGCATAGCGGTTAGCATCTTTTATTGTTCTATTGTATCTATTGTTCATGTTGTTTGTTAGGTTGTAACTCACAGTGGCTGACACAGTGTTATTTGTTGTGCTAATTCAAGCTCTCGCTCTCTGTACTGACAAGGCTTCGCCAGGTTTCGTCCCCGTCCCCACAAGTTGACATGATTGGTTCCTAAGGTTATGTGATGTATGAAACCCTGGCTGTCTGAATCCATTTCGATGAGACTGTCATCGGTTCAGTGCAATTCTGAAATGGAAATACTAAGTCATGGTGTTGATAGAAATATAGAAAAGGTGTGTGTGAAATTTGCATTTTTAGTGAATCAGAAAATGTCACTATTGTTTCACAGTGTCCAACGTGGCAAAAACTCAATTCTTAATCTAGATTTATCTTCCATTTGATTATAATTTTTTGGGCCTGTGATAATCTGTTTGCCTCGTATTTCACTCTGTACTTCATGAACTTGTTATTGTTTTTAATACATTTAAGGCATATAGTAAAGCCCCATGGACAACTGACAGTGCCAGATCTACCAGTGTCATTACAGGCCCAATGAAGCAGGTGCCATAACATAGCACACTCCCAACAAGCAGGAAACCTGAGAATATATACTCCTCTATACCTATAAACAACAGTTATTCTATGTTTGTTGAACCAGCAGGGCATAAAGTCTGAAAGTAACATCAAATAAAATCAGGACTGCTTCAATACCCACATATACTGCAGCTATAATCATAGATATAAAAGAGCAGACAGACACTCTGTCTCTGTGTCTTGTCACCAAACATCAGCTGACACAATGCACCACTTACCTCTCCATTTCATATTCTTTCTGTCCAGGTTTCACATGCTTCATGATCTATGGTGAAAAAGAGTGATTACATGTGGTTAGGAAAAGCTAATGGGCAAACCTGTTACTGACTCTTTTGAAATTGATCTTGATGTCCATCCACACCTCATCTTCCCTTTCTGATGCAACATACAACACTTAGCAATGTAGTTTAATTAATTATTTGCTGTTCACTCATAGTGTGTAAAACAGCAATCTAAGTAGTTGAACACCTTTCTACTGAGCAACTGCATTACCTAATGAGCTTTTCCTTTTTCTCTCTCCTTTGTTTATTTAATGCTTTAGCATTAACTTCTCATGTCATCTCGACTTTTAACATCACACTATGAATTGTGGATTATTGCCTCAAGCATGGTCTGCTGCATTTATGCAAAGTAAGAGATCAAAAGTCAGTGAGAGTGCCTGCAAGCACTTGCTGTTTTGGGAGACCATTTTCTGTTTTTACCAGTTGGTGACTTTGGGGACACATGGGAAAAAACATACCTCTGAAAACTAAGTCTAATAATCACACTGTGATCAAACAGTGAATTCAGAGGACTGTTTTTTGTGAGGTTAACTGCTCCTCGATCCCTGAAGGTTATTTGTGGTAATCAAATTCAATCCTGTCTGCAAGTAAAATAACGCGTCAGTGTGACAGCTTATGGGTCAAAGGCTATCTCTGTTAATTGCTTGCCTCTAAGCTACTGCATGAAGTTAAAATCAATAGCATTTAAACAGTTTATAGCCTTAGGATCCTGACATCTTTGAATCCTTTGCATGAGATTTAACCTCAATAAGCTGCTTGATACACTTTGATACTTTGGGTGTTTCATTTCAAGTTCCTAACTTTCTATTCCTTTTTTTTTTTTTTTTTTTTTAAATAAATTGTATGAACATTTAAAATATCCTGTCTGACAAAGGAGGATCTCACCATTTTGTGCGCTTCACTGGAAATCCTGTTGGTGTAGCGCAGCACCTCCAGCTCCATATCGGTCTTAATCAGACGGCTGCAGACACAAACAACAAGAAGTGAGAGACGTCGATCGTTACACTGCCAGTTTATCGATGCACAGTATGAGGACAGTACCGTTAACAGCATACAGAATTCATACAACTCACACATGAAGCTAAAGCAATGCTGTGTTTGTATTGTTTGTATTGAAATGGAGACATTTTTGGGAATTCGTTTCTTAAATATATGCAGCTAATGGAGTAGCTGATGTAAAGAACAAATGTTTCCTCCATCATTCCCAGGAATGTTGCACGTAAAAAGAGACCTGTCATTTGGTGAAATTCCAGATGGAAATGGTCTCATAATCTACTGACGCAGAGCTGATGAAAGTGTTTCAAACCATCATAAAATGTAACACAGTCTTTGATTTAAATGTAAGCTTTAAGACCTTATTACAAGTGAAGGTGTATTTGCCTGCTTATTTATTTGGGTAAGGGAAGAAGTAGCTGCACCTTAAATGGCTCGGACTGAAATACATACTGGAGAGTATTAAGGATTTTGTACGATAACAGAACCAAGCAAATAACACAAGGCAGTGGTAACCAATAGCAACACTAATGAAAGTTAAATCAATCTATCAATTTTTCTCCCAAGGAGGTGTGCCTGCAAAACATTCCTCCTTATTTCAGAAAATGTCAATTCATCTGGAGGGTGCACACTAATGCCAAGGACAACCAGTCAAGCACGAAGTCCATTACATCCGTGTGCACTGGCTTCTGACTCTTAGAGGGTAGAAAAAAAAAAAACACCTCAAAGACAAGCCCATGTTTCTGATTGTACACACACAATTAACTGACTGGGCATCTGTAATTGCAGAGTTTGTGTATTAAAAGAATCTGACTGAAAAAACTGTTAGAAAATTATGGGAGAGAGAGACTACGGTCTTCATTCATATGTTGGGTTGACTTTGTCAGTGATATTTTAAAACTAATTGTAATTACTTACCATTCCACAATGACTGGGTGTAGAAGAGTGTTGTTTACTTGGAACCTGATTTAAAAAAAAATATCAAGAAGCAGCAGCAGCATAATAAATATAAATGCAGTGGTTATATGACCTTTGAGATAAGTATGAGACTTATTTTTCAAAGCAGTCAGGGTCAGAGTGTAGAGCAGATAAAACTGTGTGATATACGTAGATAAAAAAAAGAACAAAGACCAGTGCTAAGGACAGCAGTAACATTACCATTAATTGACAACTAACAAGCAAAAGCAAGATTCTTTGCTTAAATAATTACATTCAGAATCTGGTTAATCAGTAACAATCAGTATGCACATGAGTCTGTTGTATCCTTGGTTATAAAAGAAAAAAAAACTCAATAGCCTCCACAAACAAAGTATAATTATGTTAATGCAAATTGATGCCAATTAAACGCACCGACTAATTCCTTCAAAGGAGGCTTCACGGCAGATGCTCCCACTGTCTGTGTTCTGTCCTCGCTGCATGGAAAGAAAAACATCACCACCAAGTGCATTCAGATGTCAATACAGTAAATTAAGCTGGTTTATATTCCTGCTGATGATGGAGCAATAATGAATTTTTTGACAACTGTAGAATTAGTAAAAGGGGTTTACATGAATTCTCACACTGCATCTTTAGCAGTATATGATATAATAATCAGGTTTACTCCAGCTAAAGATTCAGGTTGTCAGATATTTGTTGCCACTATTTAACATCTTACACACAAAGAAAGTGAAAGGATTCAATGCTTTTATTTTTGATTTGATAAGTGAGCTGGCATCTAACATAGGGTGAGACGGGTCTGACTGGAGCTTTTACAGACCACCATCCATAAAACTGGTTCTGGAAAATACTCCCACACCACACGTGTGAGCCGTCATCTGCTATTAAGTAAATTCATATATCAGCAGCTGTAATCAGGTAGGAATAAGTGAAATAAGTGATGCATACCAGTGTGAGGAGCACTGCTGGTTTCAGGTTGGACAGGACATCAACAATCTGCAGGGAAGCAGACAGGGACTAATTAGAAGACCGAGACACAACAACAGAGCAGCACAAACAACAAGCACCGGTTTTCTTCTTCTACTCTCAGGCTGCAGAATAAAGGTCACTCTGACGGGAGCCATTGTGGCTTCATGGCCACTCTGTACTCAGCAGCGCACTGAATGACAAAGCTCAGGCGACATTATTACTCCTCTGCCGACATCCTAAATGTCACATAACAGATCCTTGAGTCAGTGTTCGCAAACACTATGGTGATATTGGAGCATTATCCTTATTATTAAAACTGGCTTCCTAAAGCATTCACTGTATTGTCTGTGCAAAGCAGGAAAAACATCCCATGATCTAAAATCTAAATTGCAGCCTAATGTTTAGACATTGGAATAACTGTCATGATTGAAATGATTAGATATTAAGATGACCGCTCATTTATTACAGTCATGAAGATATCGGTCAGTTAAATAGTGATTCAATGGGTCAATGATTAGCTGTGACAATAACTGTAAAACATTAAAAAAAAATTGCATCAATCACTTCATTTTATTTGATTGAAAATATGAAAAGATGAGTGAGTTGAGTCTTAAATTTATTTTATTTTAAATCCTCTTACACTTAAGATTTGCTCATGTTTGCAGTAGCTGAGTAAAACATACTTGTCAGCCAAGTAAAGCCAGAACTTTGAAGTTTGCAGAGTAATGAGGATTTTTCTGAAGTACAACATAACTTACAAAATCAGCGATAACAGAAATCAATGTGAACACTTATAAATTAAAGAGCTCACTTGCAGCTGCAGAAGATAAGTTTGAAGGCAAGTGTGACTCACTGCACATACTTTGAATTTTCCAAAGATATTGTCACAGATACAAAAATATTGATATAAAAACTCTTGTAGCAATACATCATGAAGGTAAACGACTGCCAGATACTTTAACCATTATTTTTCTCCACAAACTGCATTCAACAATTTATAGGTGAACTTTTTACATGTTAAGCAGGATAGTGGTGTGTGTGGGCTAACATCATCTTCTATGATCTCCTAATTATTGTTCTTACATATTCTATTGCCTCTTTTCACCTAATGTCAGATCCTTTTGCATAATGTTTGATATGTTTTTATTTATGCTGTTTTGGCTCTTTTGACTTCTATTTTATCTGCTTTTATTTTTCTGTGAAGCACTTTGTACTTTTGTTCAGTGAAGTGCTATATAAATAAAGTTATTATTATTATTATTATCTAGGTCTGTGTGTTTGAAAAATAGAAAAGTGCTAAAATATTCATGACACACACACACAGACACACATTATATATATATATATATATATATTGAATGCTCAATGCTGGTTTCTGTGTCTGACTAGATGACACATTAGCTAAACAATGCAGAGGCAGTTATTATACGATTTAATGTTTTCTAATATTATACTGCAGATTGGTGAGACTCTCAACCTGTGACTAATTAGGAAATATAACACCTCAGGCAGGTGTAAAAATACCTGAAATATCAGCAGGGTGAATCATCACAGGGTTACAGTGTAAATATAGATATATATGTGATCCTTTCAAATGCAAACTTCTAAGTGATTTGTTGGCCAGTGAAAAAAATGTTATATTATTGTCTGAATATATTATTTTGATTTGTCAACATGCACATTTGCAACATAGCTCTTGAGCTGTCAAACCTCCAATATAGCTCCCCTGGGAATCTGCTGTCAACATTTACTATACACTAGACTGTTTTCCCAAAGTCTCAAAATATGCAATTACAGACAGTCTGAACAGGGGTATGTATTTTTAGACTAGATGGTTAAAAAGAAGAGGATGGAGCTGCAAGGTAGCACATTTAAAATAAAATTCAAAATGAAACTCCCCAGAGAGTTTTGGTGGTTGAACTCTGACAGAGGTGTGCACACTGCTGAATTGTTGCAACAAATTTAATTATCAGTATGATGCGCCACAAGCTTTGTGTGATCACAGCTACTGTCCACACTTTCTCACACAACATCCATTGATGTCATGACTTTCCCCCAGAGCTTTTATATCCTCTTCCAGCACATGCCCCCAAAAAATGTAATCACATGCAAAACACACACACACAGGCTGCAGAGAGTATGTTAAAACATTTCCATGCATATTTATTTCTATTTTAATTCCTTTGAATAAACTGTTTAGTTTGGTTGAGCAAATAAACGACGCAGGTCCATGCTCTGTACAAAAGTGTATCTGGTTCCTCTGGTGCCTCCGATATTTTTTCTATTTTTTTTGCCAGGAGGTTCAAAAAAGAGAATGATGACTTTCACCTTTAAAACAGTCTATGGAGGCACTGATGTCCTTTCCTGTAACTTCATAGCTGGGTGACTTAACATCAAGGTTCAGTTACTGACACACATGCACAGGGAAAAGGTCACTCTCTCTCTCTCTCTCTCTCTCTCTCTCTCTCTCTCTCTCTTCTCTCTCTCTTTCTCTCTCTCTCTTCATGCGGCTCTCTCTCTCTCTCTCCTCTCTCTCCTCTTTCTCTCTCTCTCTCTCCCTCTCTCCCTCTCTCTCCCTCTCTCTCCCTCTCTCACACACTCACACCCACCCACATACACACACACAGGCTATAAAAAACCAACACCAGCACAGACTGACTTACATCACAGGTGTATTTCACTTCATCGACAGCGTACTTCGCTTTGAAGTGCTCTTTGGGAAAGATCCTGTCAACAGACACAAACACACAAGTGGTAAGGAAAAGTACAATAAACACAGTAAAAGACAAAAACAGATCAGAACAAAACTAAACTAAACTAATGGAGAACTCAGTACATTAAAGTGCTGATCAAGTTTTTTTTTTTTTTATATACACATCAGATGACTAAAAGTGCTTTGAGGTTTATAGATCAGGGAAGAGCAAACATGTGATATGGTCAAGAATCTGCAGGTTGTTTCCACATCATCATCATGTCTGGTGGTCTCACTGATTAAGTTATACACACACAAACTCTAAGGAGTCTGGAGCACTGCATGCACCATTTCCTTTTATCTACAATCTGTGCTCACAAATTATCTTAGTGTAGCAATCAGCAAGTTGTCAAGTTTGCAAAGAAAGCAGCCAAATGTGTAAATTATTCTTATTCATCTGCAATTTAATGTCATTTTAAGTGGAATTTAAATGGATTTTGCATTTCGAAAGAGGATTAATAATTTCCAAATCAGGCAATAAATAAATATATGAAATACCACTTTTATGAGCAATTTACTCTGTGTAGCTTGTGTGCTGGAAATACCATAGCAGGCTTTTGTATCAGTGTAGTCAAACTTATCATTGAGGAGTTTTGGGTGATGATGAAAATGTTTAAATAGGTTTTGGCCGCATTGATAATTAACTAATTTAATACAAACGTGATCCGACTGTGAAGCAAAAGACTTTGTCAACCCTTTCTTCAAGTTCTTCAAGTGGACCAGCCAGTCATGATTGTTGGCCAGGTCCACAGCTCTTTGAGGATTAGTGTGACTCACTCTCCCATCCAAGTGGCATAGCTTTCAGGCAGTTTGGGAACAAAAAGGATGGATTTCCCAGAGTCCACATCAATGGCTCCATAACAGTCAGGCTCAGTCACTCCAAAAGCCCAGTGGAAGAAAGACTCCTACAGAATTGAGACAATCAGCCAGAACATTAGTGAAGGAAACTATATTCCGTCAGCATATTCTGGTCAGATTATTACATGAGAAAAATTAGATGCTGCCCCTTATCAGACCAGTTGGGGCTGAAAAACAGAACAAAGCTTTCAATGTGTCCACTGATCTTTGTTTAAAACCAATTATTGTCACAAGTTTAGGAAGAAGTGTCGAAAAAATTTGAGATCAAAGACACAAGTGAGGTCTCTGTAAGTGGGCTGGAGTGAGGAAATAACACAATCAGAGAAGAAGAACTGGACCTGAATTTAAGAGAAGTGAGGTGAGGTTTTTGTGGCACCTTGATGGAATACCCTCTGAAGGTTTTTAGGGATCAAGAAACAATCAACTGAAAGAGGATGGGTCCACTGACATTAACTTACTGATGGCTTGGGAGGCAAGACCAACATGAGTCATGGATGGATGGATTAATTAACCTTTACCCCACCTCAGCCATAGTTTTTTCAGCAATCCCAGAGTCAAGTAAAGATAACCTACCTGTCTGAAAAGGAGGTCTGTGTCCGTGCAGTACCTCTGTTTCTGTTCCCCTCCCTGCAGCACCACCACTGACTTTGGCACCACTCCATCTTTGGCTTTCAGCCCTCTGCACAGGCGCTGGCGGTTCTCGGCAAAAAGGGCAGCAGACACCCTCAGGGTGTCATTACCCAGCCAGTAGACAGGTCTGAAAGGACAGGGAGACAGAGATTTGGGTGACACCGAGTGGTTGGAGAGATTGGCTCTGGTGCACAAGCCTAACGCAACATAAATCTGACCCACACTGTCTCACTATCATTCAACTATTTTCTGACATCCTAGTTCATTTGTGTAGTAACTTACATACAAAACCAATTGTGATAAATGACAAAAAAATATATAGAAGCTATAGTGGGAGGCTTTGAAGCTGGAGATGTGGTGGCGGTACACTGTTGATTCACATGTCCTTAACCCATTCATAATTAGAATACAGATTCCCTACAATATTAGGCCAAACACAACTGTTTTCTGATACTATAAATTCAATTTTACTAATATGATAATTTGATGTTTTGACAAAAATCTCCTTCATCAAAAATGATGTAGGCTGCAGTGAAAATGTATAATTAAAGCTTTCAAAGCAAATTCTGTGAGCAAATTCAGGAAAACCATGTATCCACTGAGCAGGGAGAAGATACCCATTACAGTATATTCTCTCTATCTGGTGAGAATCCTCAGGATTTGGTCAGAAGATCTGAGCCTGAAGAGGTGGGTGAACCACAGCCTTCAGACTGAGTTAAGACATAGATACAGAGAGATTGAACTGTATTGTAACTGAGAGGTCTTGGTCTCTGGCTGTGCCCTTAGTGATAAGATAACAAACACAACACATCTGATTCAGTCTGGAAGGTACCAAAGGTTAATCCATAACCTCACAGTATTTTATGGCTCAAGGATTTCTGTATCATTCACTGAGTTTACAGGTGTAAGTGAGAGGACAGATCAGCCACAGTGAGGTGGTAAACGATGGAGGTAGACACTAACATGAACTGTGTCAGTGAGGTTAGGTATTTATTAAGTTCATTTTTGGTCTCTGGTGTTGCACTGGATTACATAATATCACAACGTGTGCCTGTTGTGTGCTGCAATCACCGCAAACTGTGAGAAGATCTCTGGCAGACATTTCTTTATGGCTGCTGACTGCTGACATTTTTGTGATTATCAAAGCAGTTTTTCTTATGCAGTTTTATCTAATGATCACACAGACTGGGTTGTATCGTGAGCACAAGAAGATAAAACTTTTTTCCAATGAGATCGCTAGATAATTATTTCATGATTGCAGCATAGTCACTGTTTGATGTACCACACTTCATGTTGACACCAATACAAAATTATTACATGTTGCCTTGAGAAAACAAAACCCATAATTGTACTGTTGGCTTTGAATTATTTCAGCAGTGGATACTGCTTGACATTATTATCAGTGTGAGACATAAAATATCAGTTGTTATTATTTGTGTATGAAAGTTTGTAGTTTGTTGTTTGAATGTTGCACATTCACCATGAAACATTAGCAGCTTTCACTGTGATGAAAAGCAGATGTCCAATGACAGGGTATATGGTAAAAAGATATGACACTGATCTGTTTTTATGCTGAAACAAAGTTTTTAATAGTTTCACTAACACTTACAATCCAGATAGATGGAGGTTGTCTTTAATATTTATTTTAACCTGAGGTGGTTGTGAGGTGGAGGTGGGGACTTACTTTACTAAACTATGATCGAAGTGTCATTAAATGAGCTAAGAGTGATAATCAATTCAGTTATACAATACTATGTCTCTAAATTATTGCTTTCCTTGTGAAATATTGGATACTTTCACTTCTTCAGGCATCAATTCAAATTAAACAATCTCAGAGACTAAATAAATCAGCCTTTGGTTCAACTGTCCACAATGAGTGGACATTTCCCCCTTTAAGGGACACCAACACAAAAAGGTTGGGGACCACTGGTCAAGCTAATATCCTCACTACTTACAGTCTCTTTAAATATCACATAAGGAGGTGTCTATTTACTGTAGAAATTAATGTGCCTATGAAAGCAGCTTCAGGTCTTATTACACCTGTTTTATAAAAAAAAAAACTGAAGGGAAACTAAACTAAACTAAACGTCTGAGCAGGTGAAACTTTTCACTGAACGTCCCGTTTTTACTTTACGAAAGAGAAAGTTCACTACTTCTACGAGAAACTGAAATAAAAAAGTAAATATCCTGGTATTGATTACAGTGTAGTAACGGTATATCTGCCTGACAACTGCTTTATTATTATCGCGAGCTTAGCGAAGTGACGTATATATGCTACTGCTAAAGCTAATAAGACTCTATAAATTATCTGACTTAAACATGTTCTTTTTCAGTCGGGAAACAGAAGAGTCAACTCACTGTGGTGCTGTAGCCATGTTGAATTCAGGTCCAGACTGTCACGTGGTGACAGGACTCACGTGAGTTTTGTAGGTCTGTGGCGCTGATGGCGGAAGATCAGCTGACGCGGCATCGTGCTGCGTTCGAGGGTTTCCGAGATATTAGCTTCAGCCATGAAGTTGTATTGAAAACAGATTGAGAGGATGTCCTGGGGTTGTTTTTTCCAACTTTTTCAGTCGTGTACAAAGTACTGCAGTCAGCAAATACCACTGCACAAGAATAATGAGAAGCTACAAAGAGGAAAGATTGTCAAAACAATTCAGGCTCATTTGGTTCTTCTGAAAACACTAAATGTCACATCATTGCAAGGTACAGTATGGATACAATACAGGATCAGCAAGCACACACAATTTTCTGATTGAATGATTACAGGAAAAAAATAAACAACAAAAATATAGGCAAACAATTGCAGTGAATAATACAGAAGCTGTATGCAACATGTTTTTGTAGTAGACTGCATATAGTTTCTAGTTTTTGCCACATTAATTGTTTGGGTACATCATTAGTTTTTCCCTCATTAGTCCCAGTGCCTAAAGGCATGAAATATATTGAGTCATGATCTATCTATCTATCTATCTATCTATCTATCTATCTATCTATCTATCTATCTATCTATCTATCTATCTATCTATCTATCTATCTATCTATCTATCTATCTATCTATGTGTAAATCATCCAGCTCTCAACTCTCTGTTACATTTTAATTAATTTCATTAAAAAGAGGACTAGCACAGTTAAGACATCTGACCTTGCAGAGTTGCACTGAGATTCTGCTTTCAGTTCTTCTTGTGCTTAGGAAGTTAAATTATGAAATTATCCACTGTGGTGAATATAAATGAGCTCACACTAAGAGAATTAGAGAATTAGAACTTATTCTATAATCTATAGGGAACAATGTGTTTATGCTTTAACATGCGTACGTGACGAGAAAATATTATTTATTCATACTTTTTTTTTCCTGGTGCTTAGTGAGTTTATTAACAAAGGGACTGGCTTTATAATCCAGTGTACCACATTTCATTGTTTACAAGTTAGAACTGAACTGAAAAAAGAACAATGTTTCATCTATCAAGTGTGCAGGGGTTAGGAAACCCACTAAACACATAAGGCAGCCTTCAATTCAACAATGACACATTTGAGGAAACACTTTCAGTTCTGTAGGCTACATTTCCATTCCAGACAGTCAGGTAGGATACTGCCTCTTGACTTCATACTGCAATGGTGATTTTAGGGTAAAAACAGTAGGGGGAGATGCAACTCTCTTTTGACACAATACAGGGGGAGTCTGAGAAATAATTAATCTTTATGAGTGACTACAGATACATGATGCGGGTAACGCTAAACAATGTGTTATGAAAGTCAGCATCCAGGCAAAGATGACAGACTGTCAAGAGGGTCAGCACACTCCCCATGAAACATGAGTAGCTGTGGAAGGTAAATGTCTCATAATAGGATATATGGTAAAAAGATGTTATAACATCCATCTCTGAAAAGTTTTTAATAATTTCATTAACACTTCCACTCCAGAGAGATTGAAGCTGTTTTTAATTATCCACCATAAAGGTTCATTTCAAGGTTTATGATGGTGGATGGAAAATGATTATTGGGGATAACCAAATGTAGGAGCTTCTGGACTGGAAAATAGAAGACCAGTAAAATAAGAGTATATGTATAAGTATTTGCAAATATCATTTGTCCATGTCTCAATTATTTTCAAGTGTACCCTGGCTATTTGGAATTAATATTTTTGCTGAAAAATTAACACCAAAGACTTTACAGATATTATTAATAAGACTCCTAACCTATCCACCACCACTTTTACTAGTGTGGTATGCCGTAAATGAGGCCATTGCTCAGTAAGTTTTGCTTAATTTGTACAACAGGCAGTTTTACCAAGCACTCATTATATTCATGTGCATACATTTGCCATTTTTAAAAGGGCAAAGTATAATCCAATTATAGTCATCCTTGTTTTTCTTGCCAAATACGATAAATGTAGAGAAAAGTCCGATTAGTTCATTGACTAATCATTGGCTTGATTCACACTCTTCCTGGACATGCCACAAAAAAAAATATATCCCCATGTTACACACTCATAATTTTGTTGTTTCCCCTCAGTGGCCCCCTGGCAGAGAGGAAATGTTTCTGCTGGTAGTACAAAGGAGGACTCTGGGACACCAGGCGTCAAGCCACCACTGTCACTGTAGACTGAGTGCCAATTCCCCTGCATCCTAAATTTTATCTTTGGTGCCAGCTGTAAGTTGAGCAGATACAGTTGAACTGCTCGGCTTTGAACTCAAAACTTTGCTCCTCGCGGGCTTTGGACATTTGAGAAGGAAGGAGGGGTGTCTTCAAAGACACTGGGACTTTCAGGACAAAAACGGGCCAAAATAAACACATGTGTATGCCAGTGAGACAGAAGGATGGCTGGGGACACAGATAGCATGAAACGTCTGGAGAAAGGTACGAAAAAGATTGGTTTCACTGAAAAAGATTTCAATAACGATGGCTTGTGACTAGAAAGTTGCTATTTCGAATACTGAAACCGGCTCAGGAAGTGAACATGGCTTCCTTTCCCTTCCCTCAGTGATTACTCCCCTTGAGCAAGGCACTTAACAGAGGTTGTTGAGGGCAGCTCTCAGTTGTGCATATATCCCTTCTTTGAAACCGCCACCCCGGATCATTTGTGTTCATTCAAGTTGTTCTTAGTCAAGACGCTGCATTGAATAAAGACCCAAAAGTTCTTTTCATTCAGCCTTTAATCCATAGAATAATGGGGCAAGTTACTGTGTACTCCAGTGGATACAGAGGCAAACAACTGGTAATGTTTCTCTCTTATACACAGGAAGGAGATTAACACGGGAGTAGCAGTAGAAGGAACAGCAGTTCTCACCACTTGTGAAGACTGAGACAAAAGCTGTGTATTTAGCCATATTTTGGAAAATGAGACCATCAGCATATGGATGGAAAACAAAGATGTGAAGTATAATGAACAAGTGATTTGACAACTTTCAGTAAACATTTAGAAAATTTTGATCCTTGTCTCAACTGGAATTGGATTAACCTATTACCGGACGCCCCCATTTTTGTGTACAAACTTGAAAATAATGTACCCAAAATAAAAAGATTACCGCTCTTCAGCTATTTTGATTGCATTCATAACCCTGGTCTCCTTGGAAGGACAACTTTAAATGTTACAACTAAAAAGAGTGCAGTTGCACCTTTTGTGGAAAACACTTTGGAGCCATAGCTACAAGTACGAACCATGTGCTGTGTTACCCGTGTTAAGAGATGTTGCAGTGAAATTGGGATCCTAAAATCTTTTGCACAAATACAATGTGGAAACTAAGAGCTTTCAAACAATGTATAATTTGTCAAGGCTGTGTGAAGACTGAGTCTGGTACAGACCAAAGCTTAAGTAGAGCTACTGAGGCCAAAGTGCCCCAGGGTTGGGACGGTGTATTTTAAAAGGTTAATCCAAGCTGACCATACTACAAACCTTTAACAGCCACTTTTCAAGCCAAATAGAGTTTCATCCTCAAAAACTACATGAAATTACTTTTAGTTTCCCTTAGAAACTAACCCAGTTCCTCTCCTCTATCAGAATTTGCTTCACTCAATTAGGCAGATAGTGAAGTGTGGCAAGAAGCACTATTGACTCAGATTATTTACTCTTCAGATGACCAGAAGAGGGTTTAATTAAAACACAAAAAGCTGCCTGCAGGCAGATGGATTCTTCTGAGTGGGTTCTTACTGTAATACCTTCTGGTGAATGTGTCTCAGACACATGTCTGCGGCAGAAGTGAGTAAATTCCAACCTCAAGGCACTGAACTAAAAATCAATTATTCAAACATTTCATTCCTTGAAAAACAGTATGTTTTTTTATGCAATAGATTACAGCACAGCAGGTACACAGTAACACAAACAACATGAGTCACTCTTCTTTTGATAACTTTAAAAAAATAATTCAAACTTTATTTCAAATTTTGCTTTACACATATAACATCTCCCTCACAGACAGGAGGACATATGTTTATCAGTTTAACTTGGTAGCATGCTGCCAATAATCTTAACTTTATGTCACTTGCAGCAAGTGTGTATGAACTGTGTAAATTGAGATATGATAAAGGGTGGATGAAGATAAAATTGATATATATATTAAGGAATTTTAAGTAGGAGGAGTTATAAAGAGGTATTTAATTGAGTTCGAGTGGGATTACCACTTAGAGTAATTAAAGTAAGCATTAGTAACTGGAGAATGGGTGGGAATGGTTCATAACAAAGCTATGTCTCTTTCTACTCAAGACCTCTCCTCTGTATAATCAATCTGCCTTGAGCACGTTTAATTTATTCATTCATAAATTTATCTCTCAGTTTTATTTAGTGCAAGACTATCAGTGAATTGGAAATATAAGTTGCAGCTTTTTTTTTCCCAAGCTGCTGGGTAGCTGTGTGAAGCTTCACTTGTACTGGGGAGCTCAGGTGTGAAGGAAAGCATGAACATGAATGTGAATGAGGGGAGTGCTGATAAAGAAACAAATACACAAAAATCTACTTGAAATTTAAAATAGCTGGTGGGCACAACTACACCACTCTGCTGTTAAATAAATATAAAAAAAAAACAGTTTTGTTAATTAAATTAAACTGTAACTTTATCAGAGGCTTAATTATGAGATTTTTTTCGGCCTACTAGAGATAAACTCTGCAAGCGGAGGCAAAAGACTATTTGAGATTACGTGAAATTTGGTCCAAGGTACAGCACAGGACACACTTCAAACTCCGTGTTTATGATCACAGCAGTCAAATATCAGAGGAAATGCTAATCAGTTCAGAGCAGTCGTACACTGTACGTCTTCATCATCTGAAACGCTTTCTTCCTTTCTTACCCATCCTTTCCTGATCTGGAGCTTTAAGATGTTACAAAGTGTTCTCTAATCATCACACAAGCAGACACATCAAACGCTGGTCTGACCACTCGAAATTACTATTAGTATCTTTCTACAGGATGTGAAT